TATATATACTTTTAATAGTTTTTATTAATATTTCAAAATAACATTTTTAAATTTTCAGTTTTTGTTTTAATTTTATTTTAATGTTTTAGTCATTGTGCTTTCGTCATTTTTATTATTTTTGATAAAAATAGATATTACCTTTAGGTTGAATTATTATTTTTTTATCTCAGTTTTAGTTTTAGCTTTTGTTTATTTTCAGTTAGTCATTTTAATGCTTACTAAATAACTTTCAGATATTTCAGTTTTTAATTTATATTTTATTTTACTTCAGCTTCATTCCAATAAATGAAAATGTTTTTAATAGATTCAGCTGTAGTTATTAATAAAAATAAAAAAACCAAAGTGTGGGGACCATTTTAGCACAGTTATCTGAGAAATAAATCAAATTTTATAACAAAAAATATAATTATTATTAAAGTGAAAAAGAAAACACAACATAAGAATTAAAAGTTAAAGCATGTCTGTTCTGGGAACAATCATGCCATGCATTTCCTCCAGTAAGAAACAGCCAGGAAATGGAGGTCAGATCAGACAAAATCAGTTTTAAAGACAACACTGCACCCTAAATTAGTCTAAAAATGACTGTGCTGCACCATTATGGATTTGTTACACTTTTACCCACAGTATTCAACTAGTTAAAGATGCAGTGAGGTCTGTGGTCTATCTGAACTTTCAGACAGTTCTGCACCATTTTCCTCTACACATTCATGTTCCGTCATGTTTTCACTGCTATCTCTCCTCACCTATTTGCAAACCCTGACTTGTGTGAGCAGAAATCGTATAAAAATGTGCTGAAAGGCCTGACACAGGGTTCCCACGCTACTTGAAAGTACTTGAATTTCAGACATATGGATTCAAGGCCTGGAAAGTACTTGAAAACAAACATAGGTCCTTGAAAGTGCTTGAATTAAATTTGAAATAAATTGTTTATGCAGGGATTAAAGTTTTCCATCGCTACGACAGATTTACGTCAATTTGAAAAACAATTAGGGGAAAAGAAACATGTTGTTGTTGTTGTTGTTGTTGTGCCGGCACACCAAAAATCATTCCCGGCCACAGCTGCAGCTTCTCAGTGACAACATAGTGACGGGTTATTAGCAGAGAACACAAAGCAGGACTTGAATTTCGGTGCGGGATTGCGGCTATTACAATTGTACTCATTCCCGCAGGTTCCGCGCTTCTAACGCGATGACAGATGACGGAACGTATCATTTGCACGTGCTTTTGTGTCTTGAGAACTCACTCGCGAGCTCATTTTCTGTGTGCCCACAGATCGCGATAAGGAGAGTGACCGCTTTTAATAGTTATTAAGGGAGTTTGCAAATGTGATATTGATTCAATACAACAGTTCAGTAAACAAGTACTGCCTGATTTTGCTCTATTTCTTTAATGAACATAGTTCCAAATATAGTAACGGCTCAGCCGCTGGGCATCTCTAAAAGCAAACACAGCTGAGTTTCATTCATTCAATGAAAGTGCGCTTTTGAACGAATCTAGTGAGTCAGTGATTCATGATTACCCATTTATAAAGACAGTCATTTGCTTCATTCCTGAATGAATCAGCCGTTCAAACGAATCAATTGAATGAATGATTCAGTGATAAAATCAGTGACTTGTCGCCACCTGCTGGCGAATTTAGTTTCATTTTTAGCCTATAATTTCAGTTATTTAAATCATTTAATATATCTGTATTCAATCAGAATTTAATCTCCACATAAATGTATGAATTTAATTGCACTCATGCCACCTCTGAGCCTCATTAAACATCTGAAAATGTACCTGTGCCACCTCTGTACAAATTAATTGTTTATTAATACTAATTTCATATGATTGGTAACCTATTTGTCTTATTCTACTTCTTATTATATTGTTTTAAATAGACATTTTAAAAAAGCTTTTATTTAAAGCATTTTTGAATTTGGCATAGATGAAAAAGATGCCATTACAAAGGTAAAAAGAAAATACCCCTGTAAGCCACTTTGAGTCAAAAGTTTTCTTAAGCCCGCTCCCGCTGAATTTCTGACCATTACCGACCGCTCCCCACAACGTGTGTGTCCCGCTCCCGCAAACATTCTAATATTGTATATTATTTTCGCACATCAGGGAGCCGCTATCAATATGCGGGGTATTGAAATCGCATTTGAATGAGCGCTCGCTGTTCACTTTCGATTTCGCGATCATGCGCACTCTGTGTAAAGGGAGCACATCTTACAGTGTGTGCATAATTATTAGGCACGTTGATATTCTGATCATATTTTTTTCCAAGCACATTTTACCAATTCCAAACCACATCAATCTTAATAACTACTATTATTTTTGTATTTAATCATTTAGAAGTGATATATAATTGTACATGAAGGCTGGAAATGTGTGCAGAATTATTAAGCAGGTTTTCTTTTATGGATGAAATGAGCCAAAAAAGAGATTTAACTCAGACTGAGAAGTCAAAAATGATTAACTACCCATGAGAAATATTAAAAACTAATGCAATACAGAAATTTCAAAGTTAAGGCATGACCATCGGACAGCAAAATGCTAATTGGGTCAGCGGGGTCAGAAAAAAACAGGTGGAGAAGAAAAGACGCATGTTAACTGCAAAAATGGAGCAAAATTTTATTTATCACCAGTACTGACTTCAGTGGATTTCATTCAATTCCTTTGAACACAAATGCTCAAAACAGTCTAAATTTATGAAACCTACACATTCAGAACATTATTACTCTGAAATTGTTCATGTAAATGTTAAGTGTAAGTGAAATATTAAGTACTGTAAGGTCTTTCATGACACTACATATTCTGGGATGTGAATTTGATAGATGCTTGATATAAAATAAATGGTGCTTTAAAAAGTCCTTGAAAGTCCGTGAATCTGGTGTTCAAACCTACACATTCAGAACATTATTACTCTGAAATTGTTCATGTAAATGTTAAGTGTAAGTGAAATATTAAGTACTGTAAGGTCTTTCATGACACTACATATTCTGGGATGTGAATTTGATAGGTGCTTGATATAAAATAAATGGTGCTTTAAAAAGTCCTTGAATCTGGTGTTCATGAAAGAGTGGGAACCCTGATGACAGTAAGGCAGAATTAATCTGAAGTAATCTGTTAATGTGCTTCTTTTGTTACTGTAAAAACAGTCTTGTTTACTGTAAGTTGAGGAAGTCTGAAGAAGCCTGTACTTATGAAGGAGCTATGTAAGTGACAAACATACAGTATCTGATGATCTCCACAGAGCAGGTCTCTGCAGCTCGACCTGAAACCTGCTTATCCAAAACTGCAGCAGTTTGATGGATTGTTAATGTCGCGTCAAGCATACAGGCTTTGAGGAAGTGTCTGCATATGTGTCATGTGAACGGGCCACTGGCGACACACCCACCTAATCCAGCTTTTGCTCCATGCTTAAAATAAACACAAGATTGTTTTTTTAATGTTAGAGTCGTTGAGTTCAGATCAAATGCCAGTGTCCTCACTTCTTGTTTCAGTAATCAGAGCACTGATAACATTATGCAATCTTACTTAAAGTCAACAAGAAAATGAAATCAACCCTGTTTACTTTATTAATACTTGTACCTGGTCTTATTATGATCAGTTCATGAGTGCGTGTCATCATGGAAATTGAAGTTGTTATATTCAAACGAAATCAGTCTAAATAAACTGGCTCTATGTCTGAAATTACATGCTACTGTTTAATGTTAACCAATAGTCAAATAGCGATTTAGGCATTGTTTGTACTGTAGACTATTATTGTATGTAAAGAAGCCTTTCTAAAATCTTGGCAATAGTTTACACAGTATTTCAGTGGCAGATAACATTAATGAATGCTTACAGAAGTGGCCAGTCCAGTGTTGTTATTGTTAACCAAAACTAAAACTTAAAAATTTTTTCATGAATTTAAATAAAGCTGAAATAAAATACAAATTTAAAATTAAAAAAACTGAAATTTGCATAAAAAAACAACAATTGTGTACGTTTAAGTTTAAGTTAAAATTTGTACCAGCAGCCTTGGCAACTAACTGAAATTAAAAAAAGTTTACGGTAAAGTACTAAAATTACTGAAACCAAAGCTATATAAAAATAAATTACAGCTAAATAAAAATAAAATACAATTAATATAAATAAAATAAAATCACTGAAACTAAAGCTGAAATACAAATAAATTAAAGCTAAATAGAAACAAAATTAATAAAAATAGAATTACTGAAACTAAAGCTGAAATAAAAATAAATTATTTCTAAATAGAATTAAAATAAAATTAACATAAATAAAATAAATTTATGGAAACTAAATGAAAATAATTTACAGCTAAATAGAAATAAAATAAAATCAATAGAAATAAAATAAAGATATTGAAACTAAAGCTAAAACAGAAATTATATATTTTTATATGAAAACAAGCTGAAAACACTCTAACTGAAAAACTTTTAGTGCTTTTCTATAGTATTAAGCCTCAAATGTCAACTAAACATCGGATTGGTTTCTTCTTTAAATTATAAAAAAGTAAAAATATGAATGGTATTAAATAATGTTATACTAAAATTAAAATTTTAATAATGGGAAAAACCCATAAGAGAACATGTAGAAAGAAAAAAACGCATCTTAAGCACGCAGAATAACATAGGACTTTGAACGATTAATTGCCGCTTTGAACGATTATGTAATTGTGGCATCCATAATTATAATCGTGATTAGAAATTCAATTAATTGTGTAGCCCTACGCGTGACATTACGATGTGACGTGTAATGTGACGCGTTCCGTTTCACTAAGCTGGCGAACGATCTCAGCTTCAGCGCGGATAGTAAGGAGCTCCCTGATCTCTGCTTCATTACAGTTTGTACATATTTTTTCGTCGTAAACGTTGCTCTGCCTTCAAAACACCCAGTAAAAGAGTTGCACGATAACGTGCGTCATCACTATGACACACCCTTTACGGCATTGGTTCTGGCTTTTGTTCACTAAATCTTCTCTCAAATCTTAAACATGCACACACTACAAGATTTGAACGTCATGGCGCATCACACACTACAAGATATTATTAAGATTATCGTGCCAGAGGAAGCGCCTCACGTGATCGCCTCGTGACCAATGGCGTGTCTACGTGGTGGCCAGGGGTGGCACCGGCCCCCACTGAAATCTGGCTGGCCACCCCAGGTGCCCCCACCCCACCAGATATCTTGCGATAGGCTTGCTTTTAGTAAATTTCTAACTGCCTTGTTCTGGGACTGATCCTGGCAATGTTACTAGGTCCCCATTCTGGGACCGTTCCCGTGATAAATTTTCCAGAATCAACGCGCAGTGTGAAAGGGGCTTAAGAATGAAAGCACATTAATAAAATATTAATAAGTACCATAATAGTATATAAATAACACTGGTTCAATCCTGCTCCACTTTCATAACTGGAAGGCCAGTTTAGCTCCAACACACTTGCTAAGAAGTTGCTAGTGATCCTGAAGACCTTGATTAGCTGGTTCAGGTGTGTTTAATTATAGGAGCTAAACTCTGCTGGATGTGGCTCTTCTGGAGCAAGGTTGGACAACAAAAACAGCAAACAACTTTAGCTTTGTAAAATAACCAATAAGAGATTTTGAGATGCTCTCAAGGGTGATCTTGACCTTCAACCTCCACGTCTTGGTCAAAAAGCTTCCTTAAAAAGTTGTGTGACCACTTCTGGCTCCATTTGTGGTAACACTCACTTTTTCACAATCCAATCAGTTCCCGATGGATAAAACCATTTTTGTCTCATTGTACATCCTGTTTCACTCCGATATTTGTCAAACGAAATTAAAATAGATGCTGTTTCATCTGGGCTCTAAACAATGTTTATCTGCCAAATACATCACGGTATTGACCGAAAATCTGGCCTACTACGTTGTCAGATGTTTTATGAAAAACATAGCAATAACTTGAAAGTGCACCATAAAATCATCTAAATAGCTGGTGGTTCTGGATAGAAAAGCAGTCAGTTCGTGGTTCAGTCACGGAGAGCAGGAACAGATGGTGAATCACAAGAGAGGTTTCATCTTTAATTTACATATGGGCTCGATTATCAGGCCTTTGTGGTCTGCAGGTTTTGAGTGGGAGTCGGGGTTGTTTGCGACTGCGTCCCAACCTATGTGATATTTAGTGGCTTGCAGCCAGCTTAGACAGGAGCTGTCTCTCTCGCTCTCTTTGTATGTCTGTCCCTCTCTCTCTGTCGTGTGCAAGCTATTCGGCAAAAATGGTTGGTATCGGGTCAATGGTGCCACGTTTTTCACGCAAACATAAAATCGGTTCACACCCCAATTATTTTGCGGCATGTTGTTTTTGTTTTGTTTTTTATCTCCTGTGTGACTCTCTCCATCATGAAATTTAATTGAGCCAAACCCTTTTGATTTGTAGTGACTCAGAAATTCTTCCTGAAAGCTTTGCTCAAATCGTTCTTGGCTTTATATGACTCAACATGGACGGCTCTTAGACAGCTGTGAATAAGTAGCTTGTTTTCTATTTCTCCTCCTAGTCTCTCTCTCCTCTCCTCCCTCCAGCAAACACCCACCGAATATTTTTAACTCTGCATAACCAGTCCCACAATGAGAACCTTGGGACTAGTGAAAATATAGGTTTTCTGAAAAAGAAAAAGAAAAAAAAACCCCCTGAGGCTGATCTTTGAAATGTATGGAGACTGTCGCGCTGTTCTGCAAACACTGTACATACGGTTTATACAAAAACAGACTGCATTTTTGTTTTTAGCCGAAAAGCAGCCCTATATTACTACAATGAAAAACGCAGTTGCTTTTATTTCTATTGGCCAGATGCAGTTTGCTTGGATGACACTTGTAGCTGAACATAGAGACTTCATTCCAAATGCCAAAGATAGAGACGCTCCAGATGCCATAAGAAAATAACACACTGTATTTTACAAACTGTTTTTATTACCCACAGCATTGATTGTGTTTTGTTTTCAATTGAGTAA